AACCATCGTTATTCACAACTTGACCATAACAATACTAGATTATGAAAATAAAGAGTATTCTATTCTAGAAAAAAAGGGAGAAACATTAAGGGTATAAAAAGTTATTGCTTGAATATTGATGCCTCTTATAGTAGCTTTTTATAAAAAGGATGAAGCTTTGACAATTAAATTATTCAATTTTGATCAATAAGTATTAATTGCATAAAGTTTTATATGTTCGTTCCACGACCTTTACCTATTAAATTTATCTCTTACTTGGATGACATCAATTGCTGAACTTTATATAATTTTGACCTCCTAAGAGTGATGCTTTTGAATAATTCATTCTTTTAAAATATGAATTCATAGCAAAAAGATAAGCAATTACAATTTGTTAAATACCTCGGAGTTAGAGGAATAAATATAAGAGTCGGGGGATTGGCTAAAGGTTTTAGGATGATCCACCCAAATATGGCCACCAACTTGATGTATGTATCCCCTATTACTTCTCTCATTTTTTCCAAATAATCTAATATCATCATTCCATTCTTTGAAAATAATATCTTTTGCGATTAATAACCACCGATGCCACTTATCAAGAGTGATGTTCGGAGAAAGATGGTGCAAATTTCAATGAATTAGAGTTTCAACCAAATAATTGTATGTTACACCATGGATTTCGCACTTGCTTGTTTCTTAAGTACTCTGTTGGTTTCAATAAGTTGGCTAGTATTGAAGTGGAGCTACATTTTATGTGGTCCCTATTGCTTAAAAATTTTGATATTGAGACAACTATAATGGCAAGTATTATTTTTTCTCTAGAATTTTTCTACTTGGATTAATTATAGAATCGTTGAAACGATTTCCTACCACTCCCATATGTATAGTTATACACATCATTGATTGATAATAGCATTATAAATTTAGCTAAGTTATGAATTTCAATGAATCCATAAGACCACATGAGTTTAATAGTCATTCGATATTTGCATAACGCTCTTTTATACGAAAAGTTTCCTATTATTCTAGTATTAATATGCACGAATCTCTCTCCTTTCTTTCCGGAGTGTGACCATAATGTCTTTCCTTCAAGTACAAGCATGCTCATGTTCACCTTCATCGGATATGCATAATTTTAAAGCATGTGCATACCTTAGTGTGCTCATAAATCACATCACTTCTCTTTTAGCAAGGCTTGCTTACATAAAAAAGGCATGCAAAGTTTTCTTTACTAAACATTGAATTCACCTATATTGTAGGATTGTGGTTTTAGTTTATATAGTTGAATCACACTTATTTTCTACAAGTAGACGGAGATATTATGTACATTTTTGTAAAAAATCAATATAAAGCTAATTTATGGTGAAGGCAAATGACGGGATAAAATTTATTTTTTTCATCAAAACCTCTACTTATTATAATAATGTAACCAACCAACAATAGTTAGTTACTATAATTTGTTAGTATCATTAATTATAAACACATTACAAAAGTATAATCAAAGTACACAAAAAAAGCCCTTACTACATGACATAATTGCTTTTGGAAAGATAAGTTTGATTCCAATCCAAGTTAATAATCAACTCTCAAGGGGGAATAGTGTGCCAATAATTCTCTTGCTAATGCAAAGGCGCTTGTATGCTCGAGGAGGCTTACAAGTACAACACCTTGTCATTTTCTCTATTAGCATCATTATGCAAACTCAAAGATGATGCAATTTTACAGGGTTTATTAAGCATTTAGCATACGTAATATTGAAAGTTGAAGTGGAAGCATCTTTTCTTTGCTTGTTTCTAGGAACATAGACAAAATATTATGGCTAAATTAGGCTTAACTCGGGTTTGGTAATGATTCGATTTGAGGCTGGCTTATGTTTAGATTATGACTATTTACCTCAATGTCAAAAGGGTTTCTTTAAATTTATAGTTTTGAAACCAGAATGAGGAAAAAGTTTGGGTTTTTTTTTTTAGTATTTATTGTTTGGTTTTTAAATAGGGATTGTGAGAGTAACTTGTGATGATGTCTAGGCCTATGTTATTTGTTTTTTTTGTTACTTATACTAATAACCACTTGTAAATGACATTGACACGAAGCCTGCTATCAACTTGAAGCGACTTACAAATTTTAAAGTGAGAAGAAGTTGTAAAGAAGAAAGTAAGAAGTCTTGTCTTTCATTGTGTTTTCTTCATCCGTTTACTTGTTTTTATTTATAAATGATGTTGTTTTTTGTTGTAATTTTGTAAGAATATTTGGATGATGAAATTGCAAGCTTAGCTGCATTTAGTACTTAGAACATCTTTCGTGCTATATATAATATGTATTGTTTACTTAGGTTGTTTTGTTGGAGTTATCAACTAATTGATGTTTTGTAGTGTATGTCTTTTATTTTTTGTTGTTCCTTTAGCTTCCTTAATAAGATAAATGTTTGGTAGGCTTAGTCTATGTAGAGCTAAAACGGTTCAACGAGTTGGTATAGAGGTGATCCTACTAACTGTGATTAGTTTAGTAGACTATATGTAACAATTCCTACTAGATCTACAATGCGATTTACGGTAGGAAGTAAAGAAAGCAATAATTCTTGTAGAATTTAGCTAAAGCTAGAATGAAAATGATTTGAAAAAAGGGGTGCTCCATCACGGTGTCATGGCACCTAGACATCATCTACTGTAGATAGCGATCGAGCGAGAAAATGCAAGTTTTATGGAGCTAGCTCAAAGATTGGCAAAAAGGAGCGCCCCATCATCTTTTTTGGTTGTCGATAAAATAGCTAGATTCAAAAAAGTGGATTTTTTTTAGTTACGTGATGATTTTTGGAAAAAATAAAGGGGCTAACTATTCCATTTTTTATAAAAGTGTGAGAGTTGCTTCTTATGAACATTAGCTACTTATTTTAAGATACATTAGGAACTTTGTTTAGCTATTTTGAACAAGTGTTCAATACTTAAGTTTAATCTTTTATTTGCATTCAATAAGATGTAATTTTTTTTTTAGTTAATTATTAAATTTGAAGGTTAAATAAAACTAATTGAAATATTAGAGTTGGTAACACAATTGTCTCGATAAACTCTAAAATTAGAGGCATTTTTACCCATCCTCAATGATTTCCGTTAAAATATAAAGATTCTCGAGAATGTAGAGGTGGTTGCCAACTACCGTATATATGTCGTATTAAAAAATAAAGCGAGGACATAATCAATACTTCGAGGTCGGTTTTAATTGCCTTAGAAAACTTATTTATAGGTCGTTCTAACTGCCTAAAAAAAAAATTTCTAACCGCCTCAAAAAAATTATTTTGATACGCTTAGAATAACCGCCTCAAAATTCCCTAAGAGTTGGAAAAATCACCTCTATGACGTAGAGACGATGGCATTGTAGATGACTTTGGAATGGTTGGAAAAACTACCTCTAGACTTTATAGAGATGGTTATAAGCGCCCTTATAGGACCAAAAAAAAAAAAAAAAAAAAAAAAAAAAAACCACCTACAATACCCTATTTTGGTGTAGTGTTGAATTAATAATCATTCATAATTTATTTTATTTATTAAAACATTACATATTAATTTTAATCATATTTTTGTAATGTAATGATGAGACTAATTCTATCATTCTCCCACTAGGTCAAATAATTACATTAAAATCATATATATATATCCATACAATATAATTGCAATTATGACTATATTTATTTAAATACGACTAGAGAAAGGATTATTTATTGCATTGTGTGCTTCTTGTATTATTAAGTATGAGTGCTCTTTGTACACTAAAAGAATATGAGTGAATAAGAAAGTCTGTGTTCGAAGATTGGGTAAGTTTACTATGAGCGAGCATTTACGTATTTGGGTATTGTTGTTGCACTCGTGTCTTCTCAAATATAATAAAAAGTGTGTTTATTTTATTGTTCTTTCATCATTTTTATGTTATATAATAAGATAAAGCCCTTTTAATCCAAAAATTAAGTTACGATGTAAAAATTTAAAAATAATTTTATATTACTTTTTAACACATCCTCTCAAGTTTTAAATTGGGTTTGAAACTTGCACATGTTTACCAATATTTTTTGTTTAATTATTTACTTGAAAAAAAAATGGTCTTAGATAGGGATGGCAATAGAGCGGAGCGGGGTCACCATCCCCATCCTTGCCCCGCCCTTAAAAAAAATTTCTCATCCTCGCCTCGTACCCCGAATGAGGTAGAATTTTTCATCCCATCCCCGCCCCAAATAGGAATGGGGATCCCCACGGGGAGCAAATGGGGCAAAAATTACCTTTTTGTTTTTTTAGAAAACCATATCACCTAAGAAATTAATTACTTTGCTTGCAGAACTATAAACTTCTTGCCTAAAATATAGTCAATAAATCTAAAGAGAAGTTGTCAAGACATAGCACTGGATGGATGCAATAGAGTTTAGAAGTTCAATCCTTCCTCTCGCCAAGCCATTAAAAAAAAAAAAGGATGATATCAAAGGAAAAAAGCGAGGCAATCACATGAGGCGAGAGGCTCCTAAAGGCATTTCTTCCTTGAGAGATACAAAGGTTTGCGGATGCAAGATTATTGGGCATAAAAAATTTAGTTCTAGAGCTATAGGCCATTTAATGGACTAAATTTTAGTCCAAGAGCGAGTTACCATCTCAAAAAGATCTAGTCATCCAAACGAACCGCTTAGCCATCCAATAACTTATAATATATTATTAGAATATATTTCTTTCTTTTCCTTCATTCTCTACGAGTATACATAAGTTATAGTAATAGCTACTAGAAAATTTTTTTGGTATCAATACCAACTCGGGTGAGCATGAGTCCAAAAGATATATATATAGTCGATTAAGGATAGAATCGAAACCCTACAATTTATGTTATAGAAAACACTCAAAACCCTCCATCTTCCTATATAATTATAACCCATTTCATAACAGAAGATACCTTTAGAAATACGAGCTAAGAAAACCTACTTCATAGAGAGAGAGCTAACGGCTTGGTTGTTGAAAGATAGAAGGGGCCTTCATGGAAGCAAGAGTAGACTAAGCATACTCTAGCTTCTTTGTCTCTACCTCCTTTGCACTGGAAGCAAGAGTGGACTCGGCATACTCTAGCTTCTTTGTCTCTACCTCCTTTGCCTTTACTTGCTATTTTCTTTATAATTTTTCTCCTTCGTTTGTATCAACATCTATTAGCTGCAAGAACCAAATTCAGCATACGGTGATTAACTTTAAGTTGTTCCTTTTCCTCTTGATTTTTTACCTTTAAAATTCTTTATCTTCATATGCCTAAGTGAAACGAGTGGCGAAGAACACAAATTCAAGAAAAAGGCTTCATCGATAAACTACATTCCGCAAAGTCGAAACACCAATAAGATGTGGAAGCACTTTCAAATTCATTAAAGTATGCTTTAACCATTATGGATTCAAATTACCCATTAATCATTACAATCTAGGAAACAAATCCACTATCCAACCCTCACAAGTAAGAGTGGACTAAGCATACTCTAGCTTCTTTGTCTCTACCTCCTTTTCCTAGAAACAAGAGTGGACTTAGCATACTCTAGTTTCTTTGTCTCTACCTCGTTTGCCTTTACTTGTTATTTTCTTTATAATTTTTCTCCTTCTATTTGTATCATCATCTATTAGCTGCAAGAACCAAATTCAGCATATGGTGATCAACTTTAAGTTGTTCCTTTTCCTCTTGATTTTTTACCTTTAAAATTCTTTATCTTTATATGCCTAAGTGAAACGAGTGGCGACGAACACAAATTCAAGAAAAAGGCTTCATCGGTGAACTGCATTCTGCAATGTCAAAACACCAATAAGATGTGGAAATACTTTCAAATTCATTAAAGTATGCTTTAACCATTATGGAATCAAATTACCCATTAATCATTACAATCTAGGAAACAAATCCACTATCCAAACCTCACAAGCAATGAGTCCAAGTAAGCAACATTTCAAAAAACTAATTAGGAAAAACTAACACTAATTACCCGGTGGGTCGGTGGTCGATGGAGTGGTGGAGTGGTGGAAGACTCGACACTCGGTGGATACCGAATGGTGGAGTGGTGGAAGACTTGACTAAGTGAAGGTGTGGTATGGGTGAAAGTGAAATAGGGGCCAAAGGAAAGGAGATGTTAGTAAAACTAAAAATTGAACAATTTGAATAATTGGCTAACCTAATTACCCGAGTGACTAAGTCACTATACGTAGGGCAAAATGGGACGAGTCGAGCAAATCCCATCCCCGCCTAAAAAAAAACAAGGTAGGGTGCCCCGCCTCGTTCCCCATTCAACATGAGGAATCTCCACGTTGACCGAGCACAAAGACAAGTTGGGTCGGGTTCAATTACCAACTCTAGTCATACAAAAATTTCAACTCATAACTATTGGGTTATCAAAATTCTAATAGCATGTTAAATGATCATCTCAATCAAAAATTTACACTATTAGATGAGTCTCTAAGAGTAGTTTCATATTATTTCAACCATTATTTTTTTTATGGATGAGCAAATGGTTCGATTAATAAAAAATCGAGTAAAACCGAGATCGAATTATGAAATTTGGTTTGGTTTTGAATTTAAAATTATACAATTTAAAATCGAATCAAAAAATTAAAATTATTTCGATTCGGTTCGGTTTTTGGAAAAAAAATTTGATTGAAATCGAAAACCAAAATGAATACCGAAAAAATCCTAATCTAATTCTAAATCCCTAATTGGCTAACTTCAATCTCTCTTTCATTCGTTGAAACATCAAACGGACAAACACATAGTCATCATCTCATTGTCACTAGTTCTCTTACCGTTTTCTTCCCTAACCGGTAACCTCCTTCGACTTCATTCCCATCTTCTCCACTCTCTCGCTCTTATCATCCTCTAAGCTCCAGTTCTCCTCCAAATTCATCACCCACCGTTTGCTCACCCCTCACAAGTCACAACCCAGTTCTCATCCAAACACGTAGGCTTCATTTTTTGTGTTGTTAATTAGGATTGAATTTCATTTTTAACCTTCCATGTGGCTGATTATAAAAGATGTCCGAAGCATAGTATTTAGAATGATTGTGTTGTTACATGTTGATGAAATGGATCACATGCATTTTTATTGTTCTTTGAAAGGAACTGGTGGTACCTAACCTCATTGAGAGGTTAATTTTAGTCGGTGAGGACTTGGGAAACACCGATAGAATAGAGCTTTTCTTCATTGTAAATATATTGTTGAAAAGCCCGGCACTCTCACTCACCTTTCTTTATTCTTTAAGGACCTAGGGCATTAAAGATGTCAAACACTATTGCTGATGGCCTTTGATTTTCGACCAAAGTCCCATTGCATGATTACTACAACACATACCATTTTTTTTAATTGAAATTTAAGACTAATAATAGCAAAATAGCAATGTAGAGTAGCGAGTAGTATTTTTGAATTGAACTTTAAGACTAATTTTAGTTTTGCATGTGTTGTTGATACAAATTTCATTATCGTAGGCATTTTAGGCATTTTGTAGACAAGCTTTCATAATCAGTATGTGCTCTTTGATATGTTGAAACTTCTCTTTCTTTTGCCTAAATCCCATTAGCTTAGGCTTTCATGATCGGTATGGGTTTTCCATCGAAATATTAGGCCACGATGATGGGTTTTCCATTGAAAATTTGTATATACATCAATGATCTTTATAACCTATTAGGTGTGAAATTGGGCACTTTTTTTTATGATAGTGGATCTAGTGGTTGCATGCAATGTAGACTTATGCACTCACTTGCTTTTGATGATAGTAGGTATTACTTTAGGTGCATTGTCTCATTTTTTAAGCTAAAGGTGACTAGCAACATTACCTTAGTCGAAGCTACTTGTTCTTTTTTTTTTTTTCATGAGAATGATTTTAATATTAATCTCTTTTACCGGAGTTATATCTCTATGCGGTAGTTTAGACTCATCCTTGATAATTAACTTATTTGAATAATCTCTAGCGAGTTATATCTTTTCCTTCTTACGTTTGACACCCTAATTGAGATCATGGGAATATACTATGTTTTAACAATTACTGGTGACCTTTTCTTGAATTACTTTTTATTTGCTCAATAGATTAGAAATTGTATTCAAAACTTTGTTTGATGAAATGTGAAAGAGGGGTCTAATGCACTCGGTTACAAGGCTATTACTCTTAATGAAATGCATGAAGATATGTTGAATTTGATCATGTTTTTGTTCGTGTCAAACAATTGCTATTAATAAACAATGACTTAAGGTGCCCACCCTACTTTTATCATGTACAATAATGATTTCTGAATTATTGAATTTTTTTTCCTCCTATCCTAAATTGCTTGGTTCAAACCTTTGTTTGTTGACTTGTTGCTATTTTCATGTATATTTTTTCTTCCTCTCGTGCTCTCACCTAATAGATGCATGAAATTCAATAAGTTAAAAAGAATTTCTAACTTCTATGTGTGTTTTTTTCACTCGGGACAAGACCAATTTTTGTTTTAGCAAAAAAATTCGGTTAAATCGAATTATTTTGAAACCGAATCAAAATAATTCGGTTTCAAACCGTATTAACCAAAATAATTTTGGTTCAGTTTCGGTTTTCATTTTTCCTAATTCGATTAACAAAAAATCGAACTGAATTATACATAACTGAACCGTTTAACTGAATGATCACCCCTAATTTTTTTTAAAGTGAATTTTGATGGTATGAATTTGAAGTTTTGAAATCACAAGGTTAATTAATGCGACTCTTCTAGTAGGATTTTAATTCTATAGTAATGCATGTTGTATTTAGACCATACAAAGTTATCTCTTTAACTGACTTTGATTAGCAAGAAATTAATTTTATCAGAGCTACAAGCTTTTTGTCTATGTTTAGAACTCCGTCATGGAGTGCATGATGAAAAGGGATTTTACCAAAAGTGCAGTCTGGTAGTAATTTCAGAATGATGTTTCGGGTTCGAGGCTTGCCCTTGCCACTCGAAGATTCTGATTCCTTGTAGTCCTCGAGCTGCAAAATATCAGATTAAAGGATTGGGCCAGTGACTAAGGGCTCCAACCTACAAATCAATATTGAATAGCAAATTACTCAGTTTAAGTTCAAATCATTAGTTTTGATTACATTTCACATAAGTTGCTGCCTGTTTACAATCTTACAATGCAGGGCAACCAAATCCTTGAAGCATAAGAACTTAAAAATACATTTTGCACTAGTAGATGTTTATCTATCTATAATGACAAAAGCAACTTTTCCTATCAAGGCAAGTTCCACATAAATTCAGTCTTTGCAACACAAGGCCCCTAATAACCTGGGAATTGGGATAAGACTGTAAGTGCTTAAACCACACAAACTGATTTCACAGAGGGAGAGAATGCGAGAGGAGTTGCGCGAGCGTAAATGACGAGAACTTGTAGTAGGTTTAAATGGAAGCAGGGGAGGGTGAGGGAACCTTCATCTTCATAACTGCATAAAACTGTTTAACAGTTCACTTATTGAAATTGAACTGTGAACAAACTATTAGGAAGAAATTAAATGAGCATCAAATAAATTAACCATGCACATGCCTATTCTTCTCTCAGTGTCTCTTTATCACCAACATTCTCAACATATGAAGCAGTACTACTTCCAAAGCTTCACTTAAAGCATGAGATATTTGTGTTTTTATTCAACTATTTCTTAACTATCCCCAGCACCATGCTTATTATCTTAACTCAATCTCATATCGTACTAGCATATATGATTAGCTTCGATGAATTTGGTAGGTTAAAGGACAATAATGTTCTGTGATGTGATTGAAAAGGTAATGTCGATTTCTAAAAAGCGTTATAACACTTTTCTGTTCTTAAGGTACCAGGGACAGGGACAAGACTCTCAGCCGATCACTCTTCTATCTCTTGCTTTTCAGGAACAAGTACGAATGACTTTGCTTAAATTTTCTTTAATAAAGCATTAAAACTGACATTAATGATCTAAGACAAAAGATTAGAGCAACTATATCTTTCTAAATCTGGGGTTTCAAAATTCAAACAACACGGAAAAGAAGTAACAGCATCCATACAATTAACTTAATCAGATATAAGATTTTACTGAATTCGTACTTACATTAGACATCCAGACCAAGATTGGTTTATGTCGAGGAATTAACAATGTTGGGTGGCCAAAAGATGTCAGAGAACTCCGGAATCAGTGAAAGTTTCTCAGTGCTACGATCCTTTAACTGAAAAACATGAATGCTACCAGCACTCAATCCTCTACCAACAAAATCATCACCATCCATGAAGTAAATGCAATTCCCTTTGCCTTCATTAAACTCTCTACTTGAAATCGAGAGAGAACATTCCGTACCCAAAACAAAGATTCGATCATCTAAAGATTTTACATCAACCCAAGTACCCCATTCTTCATCCAGCTTATAGACTCTAAAATCGACAGCCTTAGGCCTGCATTGCTTCATGAGTTTCCTAACATGAACATAATTGTCACTGTTGTCTATGACATCCTCATAATCTCTCCATGTCCTTCTTTCTCCATCAAGATACCTATCAACGACATAAAGATCTCCACAGGACTCCACCAAATTCTTTTTCCCTCCACAACCATAAAGTGGAGGGGAGTATTGAATGACTTTCAATGATGAATCAATCCAATAAACTGTCCCCCATCTATCAATAATATAAACTTGGTCCTTGTACACAATAATATCATCATATTGAAAATTCTTATTATCTAACAAAGTCCATTCCTTATCTCCATATTTCCAATAACCCAATTTCCCTTCATGATAAATTGCCAACATTCCAAATTCATCTATATTACTACAACTTGCAGATATAGGAAAGGGAACAAACTTATTTTCTCCGAAAACATGAAACCCTCTTGACCATTTAAGTAACAAATCTTTTCTTAATTTTACAAACTTAAAGTCAAGCAAATTCAATGATATTGGTGAATACTTGATTTTATAATTTGTAAGTGGATTCAAAAGCTGTAGTTTACCATATTTTGACTCTCCAACTTTAACCAACCAAGATTTTGTTAAAGAAGAAGAAGAAGAGTTTGGATATTTACTCATAAGTTCCATGCGGCACACTGCAGTTTGCATGAGAACCGCATCTGCACGGATTGGTCGAGGAAGCTTGAGAACCAAGGGAGGAATTTCTTGATCAAATGAAGGTAAACAGGCAGAGTATCTCCATGAAGTACAGACAGCACGAAAGCAAAGTACGTCAACTCGAGAGTCTAAACCTTTGCTGATCATTTCTAACAGTTCTTTTGGAAGATCTGACCACTGGGACATGAGGTATCGATCAGTTCTCTATCTCTCACCAGTTTGGTAATAGAAGAAGACTTCTCAGATTTTTTAACGCTAGTTTTCTGATGGAAGTGGTGATGCTTTATGTCTGGTCCTTTTTTGTTTTTTGCATTGACTAGAGACTGGAGAGAGACTTGAAAATTATTGGTCCTTTAGCTGTTAAATAAAAAAAAAGTTAAAGAAGAAAACGAAAGGAAAGCACTTCGAGGAAGAGATTGGATTATTGGGCCAATTTTCTCTTGTTTTTGTCTTGAGCTTACTTTAAGGCCGTGTTGCTAGTTCTAACTCTTATGACTTTATGACACATGCTGATCCTTTTTTTTTTTTTTTTTTTTTTTTTTTTTTTTTTTTACCATCAGAAAGAAAGGGAAAGCAATCAAGCATATGTGATAAATTATCTACTTATCAAAATAACTAATGCAAGGAATTACAGATATTGTGGTACCAATGTTTGAATCATGGTTGACTAGTGAGAAATATAACAGCAAACTACTAGATCCAGGAGCATGGGTAGAAATAACAGATACAGTGCATTCAAAATAATGAATGAAAGACAATTTCTTGACTCCTTCAAAAGAAAAGAAATGTGATGGAATACAACTAATACGGAAAAAACTAATTTTATTATAATCTTAATTAGTTAAAGAAATTAACTCTTATTTTTTTTCTTTTTTAACATAAATAATTAGTAGAGTAGGACAAGACATTGTATTATTACGACAAACTAAATTACCCCATCGCTATAAAAATGAAAAATTAGTTTTACTTATTCTTGTAATTGAACCTTTTTTTAAAAAAAAAAAAAATCAAATACTATAATTTGTGATATTTTGTAGGTGCAAAAATCTTACTATCAAGAGACCGAAGCCTACACTACACCATAAAAGGGTATTGTATGCGATTTTTTAATCTTCTAGAGCCCGTTATAACCACCTCTCTAGATTCTAGAGACGGTTTTTAGACTCGCTTCAAAACCGCTTGCAATGCCATCGTCTCTACGGTGAGAGGCGATTTTGCCAACTCGTCAAGGAATTCGAGGCGATTGGTTGCGGCGAGTTGGAACCGCCCCAAATTATTTATCTATGATGCAAATTTTATCATCCGGGGTTTTTTAGCATGTAATTATTGCAATAGTTTAGAACCACCTCTACATTCCCGCATTTGTTTTTTAAATTTCATATGAAATATCCGGGACGAGTTATAACCGCCTCGAGGTTTAAAATTTATAGGGGTGGTTAGAGCCGCCTCAAACTATAGAATTTATAGAGGTAGTTGTAACCGTCTCAAATTTTAAAATTCATAATAGCAAATTTTGTAATTCATGTAGACAATTGTTTAACTTTCGCCTTCGAATTCAATTGTTTTTTTTTTTCAAAAAATAAAAATAAATTAAAAAAAGTTAATATTGTTGAATGTAAATAAAGAAAAATTATATAGCTTACACAATATTCTTAAATTTATAATTATTAAATTCCAAATACATAAAAAGTCATAAAAAAAAAACCTAAAGGATTAAACACTTGTTCGAAATACATTAACAAAATTCTAAATATATTCTAAAATAAGTTGCTAATGTTTCATTTCGGTAGATGACTTGATTGTGATGAACGATTAGGAGAGGAGCATTTTGTGTTAGTGTTGGTGCCTAAGATCCAACCATGTTTGGATGGACTCAATTGATGTATTATTACGTCATTTATTTTAATAATAATAAAGAAGTCATTATATTAATTCTTATGTTTGCATGTTGATAAATTCGGTAGAATTAGATAGAAGTCATTTTGATATGCATTTGTAATAGTGATTGATTGAAAGATGTGAGATAAACACTAATGTATATAAATGATATCATTAAACGTCTCAAGTTGTAGCATTGTCAAGAATAGACATTGACAATATGCGGCTAGATTTGTGAGTTCTATGCTCATGCTATATGATAGAAGTAAGAGATCTCACACCTATTGGCATGGTGATACTAAAGCAAGCACTTAGGTGATTTATGTTAGAGAACATATCGCTGGACTTGACTTACCATGAGAACCCAATTAGTTTTAGTTTATGGGAATCTCATACGAAATGGATATAAATAGTCCTTAGACTTAAAGTCGTCACGGTTATCTTATTAGAGGACTTAATGCACTTTGACACTCGTTTTGATAAACCCATTAATGGATTGCACGTGGGTGATTTACTAGGTGTAATAGGAATCCAATTGAGATATGTGTATGACTAAGATAGAACATGTCATTCCTTGTATGCTAAAGGAGTTATCACATTATACTTCGATAAATATTTGCTCAACAAATCTATAGCCACAATAGAAGTGCACCAATAGGGTATAGTTGGTTTACTCTAAAAGCTAAGACATTTGGGATTCGAAGAAAACTTGTCCGATCATAATTGAATAAGGCTAATAACCAACTTCGAGATCGCATTGTGATAAGTTGACATGAATACTGAATTGTATGGTAACCATGCTCGTGAAAGGTAATGATGGATTAATTAATCTTTTTAGAGAATTGGGTAATCATAATGTCTTCTTGGAGGCCAATTTTGATTTATGTATCAAGGGATAAAAGAGGAGTCTCTTATTCTTGATACATTGCTAACATATCTAGGAGTCTATTGAGTCATATGCATAAGTTTAAGTATTCACATTATAAATGAGAAGCAAATATATTGGAAAAAGTTTCCAATTATAAAAGGTTTTCTATTTTGGAAAGAGTTTCTAAAATGGAAAGTTTTCTATTTTAGAAATTGGTTTCCTAATTCGAAAGTTAGTTTTAAATTTGAAAATAAAGAACCTAAAAGGAAATGAGTTTCCTCATTTAGGTTAAAAGGTATTTTGGAAAATTATTTCCTAATGTGGACCCTGCTAAAATAATCTAAGAATATTTATTTTGATAGTCCAAATAAATTAATTGGGCTAAAATAGTTTTAGCCTATAATATTTAATTAAGAGCTTTGAGATAATTTTGGTGAGAGGATAAACATCAACTTTATTGAATAAGGTTGAATGTTTTAAAGATAATAATCAAATAGTCCACATATAAAATAACTCCTTATAAGGAAGCAACAACCTAGAGTCCTTTATAAACTCATAGCTGCCCCTCTCCTTGTCCTTAGAGGATAAGCAAACACTCCTCCTATATATAGGAGGAGAGGTATGGCATAAATCGATAAATGCAAGAAGGAGATTTCGACCAACATAAGAAAAAAAAAGGAGAGAGAAAATTCGGTCGAGCACAAATATAAAACTAGGGCACACGACCAAGAGTGAAAAACAAGGAGAAAATAGTTTTCTCCTAAACCCTAGCAAGAAACACTCTATCTTTCTCTTTTAAGGTCATCGTAAAATTGTCCGGGACTAATTTCTAGAGGAAATACTAAATCAAAAAAGGTGAAGCTAGCACCCTATTAATTTTGAGTGCTTCTTTATGGATACTTGACTCGTGTGAATCATCAATAGAGGTTGGACACTTGGATGGCTTCGTTGGAAAAGGAATTTACATCCGTACTATAAGAGGTAATCCTATTCTTATACCTTATTATTCATGTATGTATGGTTAATAGATTCAACGACTTGATCTTGGGGCCTTAGATGGAGAAAAAAATTTATTTATTCGGAACCTCCATATGATGCATGATCCTTTATTTTGACCATTACCATCATTGTGAACCTATCAAAAGCCCAATTTGAAAGTATAAAAAAAAAAACAATAATATAAATACGAGATAAAATGGTGATGCAAATCTTTTGGGTATCAAACAACAAAGTTTCCCATGAATGATGAATCACTTTGTACTCTAACATTCCATTGCTAGATGAACATTAAAACCTCCTAGGGTAAACTGAATGTATAGTATATATCGACGTAAGACACTAAGTTTCATAGCACTTAAAAAGGAAAACATCAATCTCTTATCCGTGAATGCGAGATAGGAAAAAAAAAAGGTTTTTTTTTTTTTCATTTTCCTATAAAGCACATTAAACGTGGGCAGTAACACGGTTTTAAGGATGTTCATCTCATGGCCGAGTAAATCCAAGATAGGCAAAATAAAAGGCTTCTAACCGTTAATCTTGTAGCACATATTAATTAAATGTGATTGTAATGCAACATTAAGAATCAAGCAAGCATGAAGATAATTTTGACATTTGCGTGATTGCATAGATAGATGAAGTTTTTCGTTTTCTTTCGGCTAAAAAAGATCGCAAAAATAAAGTAATGAGAAGGACAAGGTCTTCTTTGATACCTTATAATTTGCTTTGTCACGAAAGAGCTTCCAAATAGAATACCACCCTAGCAAAATGGCTACCCTTGATAACCAAAATATATGATGATATAGAAAGAAAATTAGAAAATCTCTATCAAAAAATTGAGTCAGCAAAATCTTTTTCTAAAAAAAAAACAAAAATCCTTGCATTCCCTAGGGCAAGTAAACCTATAAAAACTATTGGAAAAAAATCAGTTTTATTAGTTAGAACAAAAAAAAAAAAGTTAACTTATCCACTACATAATAAAAAAAAAGAAAGAAAGATGTAATTGTACTCACCACACGAGCCTCTAAAAGTTGATCTTCTTTAACATTTCCACTTTCTCTAAAATAAATTTCAATCTATAAATTAAAAAAAAATACAAATTATAAATAACAAAACAAACTATATAATACTGAAGGAACAAACAAGTATAAAACCAGCAAAAACATCTATATCCCCAAGCACAAAGTCTCACATGATTCCAACATCATAACCAAACGGAATGAGTTTAGCTTTAACCCAACCTATAAACTATAGTAGCATCAAAGATTGTCCTAAAATATGTATGTCCGGGATCTCGAAAACTTCATGTGATGGGAGGGGAAAAATTCAACCAATACTTCGGCATGAATTCTTTTCCTTATTCAATAATGTAAGAATTACAAAACACAAAGTAACCTATTTTATCTTGGACATGGTCCTCATAGATTGAATATAAACCACACCC